AATCTTATTAAACAACTTGATTCTGATTTTGGAGACTTAATGAGAAATGGGATTCAATTAGGCAAGACTGAGACTTTTGATCTTTTTTCACTTATATTTTGATTGTTAAACATCTTTCTGAGGAGTTCTATTTTTTTTTTTTTTTTGATTTAGAATTACTTTACAACGCTTCAAATTTGTTCACGTCTGAGACAACAGCTTTTCAGAAATCGGTTGACGCAGTAAACAAGTGGGAGTAAGTTTACACGCAGTGTAAATATTTCAAGATGCAGAAACTGTATTTAAATTTTGAAAAAAAAAATAATCACGTAAAGTTTTATAGACCAAATATTATCTTAATTTTTATAGCCCATTCGCTATTCGGAAAATAAACGACCAGCTCCTTCAGTTAGAGAGAGCATTCATTGACCCCCAAGGTTTACCAGGGCGCCCATTGGCCAGGTATAATCACATGTTTACTAGTCAAAAGTTTGAATCGAATCGTAAACTTTTCAATTTGAAAAAAAAACGCAAATATTTATGTTATTTTTCAATCAATTTATTCAGACACGTCCTTTTTGCGGAGAGCAGTGTAAATACATACGCTGGTAGCAGTTTTCCGGGACTGGCGGACGGAATGTTTGAGATAGAGGGCAGTCCAGATGAACAAAAAGAGATGGGAAACAGTGAAGAAACATTTTACCGTCATTCTCTATACAATAGAGTCAGCGGCATCTACTCTTCGTGAAACGTCTAGATTTATGCCAATGTACACGTAGCAAGGGACAATCTTTAAAATATTTTAAATTCTATTTCGTTAAAAAATAATCTTAAATTTCATTATTATCATTTTCTTGTAAATATTCACATCATAATCAATTTGTGCACCATCATATGTGTTTTCACTTTTTTTCCCCGTGTTTTGTAATGGTTGAGATTTTCAGAAAAACCTCATAAGAAATAAACCTGTAAAATATGAAAGCCCTAGTGCTTACTGTTCCAAAATTATGTCAGGGTTTTTTAGAAGTGGGTCAACCTTTAATGTCAAGGTCAAAAGGAAAAAATTATCATACCCATTGGAAGGGCTTGTCATAATAACTTGACATGTGAAGTATGGAAGCCCTAACAATTGACTGTTAAACAGTTATGTAATTTTGTGCAAAAGTGATTCAAAGTCAAGAGGTCAGATTTGGTACCCAAAGAGAAGGATTCAAGGAATACACTTGTGAAATATGCAAGCCATAGCCCCATCCACTCATGATGGGTAATGGGCAAGGAATTATTACATTATAAACTGCCTTAATATATGATTTTTGGCCAAGTGACCTTGAAGTTTGACCTACTTATTGTAATTAATATGAATAATGTAATTATTACCTTAAATTGGACAAAACTTTTGAAAGAGAAAAGATAGGGCTCTCATATTGCACATGTGTACATGTATTTCTTGTGACAAAGCATTTAAAAATATAACACTATGATTTTTTACCCCCTGACCTTGAAGTTTGAGCTACTTTTAAAAATTTAACCCTGGTCATAACTTTTCATGAGAAAAAAACAGAGCTTTCACATGTACATGTATATTACTTGTGACTAGGCCTTTCTAGAGACAATATGATTATGCTTACGCGGGTTATGTATTTTTTCTGCAACAGCTGCTTCCGTTCATTCCAGTAACAACAAACAAAGAAAGCATCTTATTGTTTGAATATACTTTTACTATTTCACAACAAAACGTTCAGAGACTGCACATACTACGATTCTTGTCTGATATTGAGACCAAAGATAATTTTGCCTTTTTTATATTCGCCTGCCAGCAATAGCCTTTCCTCAACGAATATAGAACATTCTTTACTAATCACTGAAAGAAATAAAATACGACGTTACGACACCATTTTCCTTGCAACTGATTACTTTCTCCTCAATCTTATTAATATTTATAGGTCAATCGGACATTTTTGGTTGGTGAAAATTTACAAAATAGCGACAACGGATCTTTAGCCCTTCAGTTCTACTATTTATTTGTAACATTTAAGTTAGGCCAAAATAAAATTATAGGTTTTTTGGAATTGCCTCCCGCCTCTTTGAAATGCCCCCTCCTGAAAAAATTTTATTGACCAAAAGTTAGAAGGTTTTTTTATTTAATTAATTTTTCGTCCATTATATGCATCACATACACCATACAAAACACTCAAAAATAGTGTCAGATCAATGTAAAATTAGGTTTATTTGTTGATGGTAAATATTTTTTTTTAAAGTCAGAAAATGTATTTACTGTTTACTGAGATTTTTATCAGAAATTTATCTTCAATAAAAAAAAATATTTCCCTCCCCCTCCCTCCTGTGTCTGAAACCCTTCAGGCAGCAATTCCAAACAAGCAATTTTTAAGGATTGTCTCTCTTAAATAAGAGACATCTTTGTATTTTTCAAAGATGAATTGTATATTTTTACGAGTAAATAACAAAACGGATGGAATTTCGTTAAACATCGCTAAAACTTTCTTACGTAGGGTATTTGAAACATTTTATGAATAAAGTTTACAAAGCTCTGGCATGTGCATCTTATACAATCTAGGGTGGATGGAGGAGGAGAGCTTATAAAGCAGGGACCTGGAAGCGCCTTCACATTCCGCTAAAGACAAAGCCCCTGAAAGATGTTTTTGAGTCTCAAGTTACTCAGGTTGGCCAAAATGGTTTTTTTTCCTGAGAGAAAGTTTTTTTAATATATCTTTATACCTATTGTCATTATTGATAAAATATTATAAATCAAACAAAATTCAGTGATCAATAGAAACACATACATGTACCGGTGTTATACATACTGCTGAACACAGTTGCAGTCTGATCTGATTTTTTATTAGAAACTCACGGACAGGACGTTTACATACCAAAAGTTTTAAAGAAAAAAATCATGATACTGCAATCATTACAAAACAAGAGGCCCCTAGGTCACATCTAGGTCACATCGCTCACCTGAGTAACTTTGGCCATTCTGTCATTTGACACCTTTCCCCCCTTTGTAATACCTAACTTGACCCTGAAATTCCTAATAGGTCATGATTAAAACAATTTAGAATCTACACTACCCCAGGATGCTTTCACGTGAGTTTCAACTTTTTAGGCCATGTGGTTCTTGAAAAGAAGATTTTTTAATGATCCCACTCTATTAGTATTTTCTTGATTATCTCCCTTTGGAAGGGGGCTTGGTCCTTTATTTTAACAATTAACTTTCCCTTCACCCAACAATACTTTTTACCACGTTTAGTTAAAATTGGCCCTGTGGTTCTGAGAGAGTTTAAAATGTGAAAAGTTTACAGACGGACTACAGACAAAATGTGATTAGGAAAGTTGAGCTTTCAGCTCAGGCGAGCTAAAAAGCTTCTTATTTTCTGGTTTAAGGAAATTAATTTTGTTAAATCAGTATCTGACTAAATGTTTTCCCTTGAAATTAAAGAATAATATTTCTAGAATGAAGACCTTTCTCGGGGATTGAAGTAGGAATTGCAATTTATTTCAGCTTGGGGGTATAACGGTAGACAATATGTTGTTTCTATGCTTCGGAGTACATACTATAGGTAGCCCTTTCCGTCTGTCTGTTTTTCCGCAATAACTTTCACCTTGCTCATACCTTTTAAGTAAATGGCAATAGGAATTTCCTATTTCACAGGAATATTCCTTGTGACAGGATCTTTCTTTGAGTAACACAAAATTTGACCTATTGACCTTGGAGTTTGACCCATTTTACACGCATTCTCAATTTATAGTCACAAATCGATCTTGGGAAAAGTCAAAAAAATTAGTGAACTGAAATTAACACTTTTATACGTCATTTGAAACATGAAAGTGTATAGTTATTAAAAATCGCAATTTGATTTACATACTTCATGCATTGTTTTGTTGGCCTCCTTCGAAATAAAAGCGGTTGGAGGGCTAATTTTACACCAAGATATTTACGTGATGTTGAAAAGCCATATTTGAAAACGAAAGACTTTTTTTTAAATACAAAATTAATATAATACACATCAAATTTTGTTAACTATGAACATTTATGAAACGTTTAAGCACATTTGTAAAAGGGGTGTACAATCTTTGATTCAATTATTAGTAAAAATAAAACGGACATAATTTTCATTTAAATGAAATTATTTTCTTTTTATTTCAACAAGTTTTAGCACATTCGATGATAAGCTTAATAATGATAATATTCCCTAAAATGCTACATTAATTGATTCTTTATTAATGTGCTCAGAGAAACGCACATTATTTAGAATATAAAAAGGTTAAATATTTCGCCATTACCTGATTACGAAGTGTTTGTTAAATATCACGTAAATATCGCACATAGATATCATACAAAAATAAAAGTATATTCGGGGGAAAAATGATTATATTATTTCAAATTATTGAATTTTATGAATTTTCTAATCTGTGTTCTTACAAAGGGTTGAATTGAAAATTCAAGTTATAAATGATTAATCTATAGAGGACTCATGTAATTCATAACCCCCCACCCCCCTTCCACCATTTAATCTGTTGATTATTTCAAATGCAGTCATTCACATAGCATCGTTTTTGAAAGTGCATGTGTGTGTGTGTGTGGGGGGGGGGGGGGTAGCCAGAGAATTTTTTTTTACTTACCTGGAAAGTTGACAAGGCAAAAAAGGGGCGGGGTGAGAAAACTTGCTCAAAGTCGAAAATCCTAGAGGGGGGAGGCGAACTTTTTTTCAATGCCAACTACATTCAGTACCAATTATTACAATATATTTTCCGTACATCACTTTTTGTGGGGGTGGGGGAAACCAGCCTTTCACTGAACATTTACTGAAGTTGAAGTAAGGCTGGAGAAAAAGGGGGCAGGGTGGGGACTTGCTCCTGCTATATACCAGAAATGCTTAATTGTTTGTGAAAACTTTATCGTCATATCTCAAAAATAAAACAAAGATCGCCCTCCACCCTTAAAAAGTTTGTCAATAATTACAGTTGCACATCACATGTGCTCTATAGAGCAATATACATTCTACGTTCATATAACGTACATTGAATTTTCAGTACCATTAAAGCATAGACGCATACCTCCTAAGTCATATGTCTATGCAACAATGCAAATGGGAAAAATTAGGTGCAAATTTTATACATGTTAATAAATGTATTTCTTGAAAAGCAACAAAAATGGAAATGGATTCAATTTCAACCAGTATCTTGACACACAACACCCACAGCCGTCTATCTTTTTTTACCCGATGTAGAACACCCCCCCCCCCACTGCATGCAACGCAGCGCCTATTTTCTGGAATTATATTTCCTACAAAAATGATATTTTTTTCTTCAAAATATTGGTATACAATTCAAGTGTATATAACCATTTTTGAAAGTTGACGATCACTATCAGTTCAAACAAACAGCAAAATACAGACTTGAAGAAAGTTTTGTTTCAGATTTACGTTCCGAATGATAACGTGCATTACACTTGAAACTAAGCAATATTAACCAATTGCTCAAAATGGAAAGATTCAATCATTAAACCACGATTCTACTTGTGAATAATATTATGTCAATTCAATTTTCAAATCACACGGATGCACAAGATATTGAGTAAAAATGTTCACCTTTGCATGTGCACTTCAATTTGCATTTCTGCACTCTTGTTACAGAAAAAATGACATTTTAAGAAACAGTGTATATTTCTTCATGTTCTTAGTATTTACATCATAAAGATTCACTCGCAAATCTGTTCAAACAGCTTTAGAAATTAATACTTATTTACTTTAAAACATGGTAACGTAAATATCGGTAACGTAAATATCGGTAACGTAAATATCTTCCTGAGATTTATCGTAACTTTTAATGCCATTGTTCAATTATTCCACTTTTAATTAAAGGCATATTCTAGTGCTTGAGTGTAAGGTAATT